TTATGACATTAGCCCTTAAAACAATCATACAACTAAGTATCATTCATGTTTTATCATTCATGTTTTTATAGAAAAAAATAAATATAAATTTATGTAGCGAATTAAATGTCAGAAATAATTAATATCATAAAAATAAAAAATAAAAACAGCATGATAAGATCAAAAGACAGTGTGTTAGTACTCATATCTAAGTATTTAAAATCTCTTTTTCTAATTCCAAGACCTTCTTTAGATTTGAATCCTTTATTTTACCCAAATGACAGCTATTATCCTTTCATCTTTCTAACGAAATTTATCAAACTTCTTTGAAAACTTAAATAAATAAACCAGATATTTTATAAAATTAAATCAATACAAGATTCCGGAGAGTTTTTATAAAATCAGCTAAATTAAAAACCGTAAAACATGTCCATGTGTTGAGCGTGTCAAAAGTCGTTTTAAAAGAACAAATGTGTCCTGAAGAATTTTTTATTTATCATAATCATATTTCAAGTATTTTTTCAACAGAAGAACCAAAATACTCGAAAATATAATTTATTGAAAAAAAGATTTAGATTTTTTTCAAGTCAAATTTCAGAAAGTAACTTCAATTCAACGGCTTCAATTAGAAGATAAATCAAATTCATGTTTATTAACCAGATCTGGAAATAAAAAGAAAATTATACATACGTTTCAAACAACCAATTCTACAAATTTTTCATCATATCATTTGTATCTAAAATTAGAGAAATCTTAAGAACATCTAAACATATCTAACAAAAATATATAAAATCATAGTACAAATATGAAACAAAGTACACACGAATATTTATAGATCTAAAACAAAATCATGGGGTTTGACATTCGAACATTTATAGATCCATAAAGAAATCTTGAAAAAATCAAAGGTTTTAAACTTAGAACATTTACAGATAAAAACTAAGATATTTATGTGCTTGAGTGTGTATCTGAGACATTGGAAAATATATCTGCATCTCTAAGATCTATGGTTTAGTCGCTTTTCGACGGTAGTTTGAGAGTCGCGTTTCGCGGCGGTGTTTGGCACAACGGCATTGATGGTGTTCCGCAGTGATAATGATTTGTCTCGATTGAGTGACGGTGGCGGTGGTAATTAGATCTATGGTTTTTGTGGTACTTACATGTGTTTTTTTATCAGAAACACAAAAGAGTGAAATGGGAGGCTGTGGAGTCGTGGGTGGTTATTAGATCTAGATTTTTTGAGGGAGAAACAAATAGAGAAGAGAAAGGGGCATAAAGAACATGAAGATGGTGGTGTACTTGTAGCTGTCGGCTGTAGAGGTACCGTTGATGGTGAGAAATCGTTGTTGTGCTGTCGATGGAGAGGTGCTGGTGGATTAGGATAGAGTGGTGGTTCAGGTGTTTGTTGTTGGCGATAGTGGCTGAAATGGGGGAAATCGTGGTTTTGGTTTGTGTAGGAGGCGACATTTGGTATAGAAGATTAGGGTTTGAAGGTTTTCTTGATCGATGGCAAAAAGTGTTTTTCTAGAAAGATAGTAATGCTTCTCCTTGTCTTTAAATAAGATGGTAATTTTTCAGATTGATTATGGTTGGTTAGTTTTTTTTCACATGGATCACCAACAATCTAGACCATTCAAATAAAATCCAATGATCAATAATTCTTTTCCTTGTTTTTAAGACTTTGGTCTTAAAAATTATAGGACCCACTATTTTATATGTATTATAAAATACTATATATATATATATATATAAACATTTTTATCAAAATCTATTATCAATATTTTAATGCATGTTTGTTATCATTATTGGTCATTAGAAATCAATAAAGATAATTCAAAATTTGATACGACAAAAGTAGTCAAATTGTCAAAAGATTCTATCAAATCTGTCAATATAAATAAAGATTTGAGAACCATTTTCAAAAGAAAAGAAGATAAGATTGAACCTAACCAAAAATGACATTTCTTTGTTGGCCGCTCACAAAGAAAGAAAACAAAACACAATAATGAAGATATCAAGAAACTTCTGATGAATATTTCAGATTAATGCATTCGAAATTTTATATTATCTTTCAAATGTATAGTCTATACCTAAGAAACTTTCTAGTGTTTCTTTATCCACATCCCGTTGTTCAATATCCCTGGATTTTCAAATTATCATTTCCAAATGTTTGTATTGATTGTTCTTCAAGTTTAATCAAAGAATGTATTTTTAGTACTTTGTTCAATTTGTTATGTTATTATTTTCTTAAATGTCTATTTTATTTTGATTAAAGTTAACTTATTGTTAAAACCTCTTTTTGCATTATGGCATGAGAGCCAAAAAAGATTTTTTTGGGTGGTTATGTGTGATTATATATATATATATATATATATATATATATATATATATATATATATATATATATATATATATATATATATATATATATATATATATCAGTGTTGTAAAAATCGGCCTAGGCGGCCGATTAATCGGCGCCTAGGCGCTAGGCGGACCTTGACTGAAGAGGTTTAGAGGTAATCGTTGTGTAATCAGACGGGTCAAAGTCGGTCAAAGCCGGAGATAATCGGACTTAGGCGGAGCTAGAAACTCAAATCGGTCAACTCAGGTCAACGTAATTTAAAAACATTTTGAGGGCAAAATGGTCAAAATATAACAACTGCTGCTAGGGTTCGTTCTAATTTATCATTCAATCTTATGTGCAGTCAAAGAAACATCACATTCCCTCTCTCGACTCAACGAATGAAGTGAAACGGTGTCACACCCCCAAACCGGAACGACGGAAACGTTCGGGGGTGGTTTGACGTCATGCGTAGTATCATAACAGTTGTATCATATCAAACATAGTAAACACAACCAAACATTGAATACATATATGAAAAAGGTTTACATAGTCTTAGTACATAGTTTTGGTCATGACAAAAGTAAAATCGAAAGACGTGACTCTAGCGCGCCGACTTCTCCAAAAGCCTGGAAGTACCTGTCTACTAATTCCCTGAGAATACAAGCAATTTTGAAAGAATATCAACATAAAGCTGGTGAGTTCATAAGCATTTAGTTTTGGTGGAAAATGTTTCTTTGATCCTTTTGAAAAGCGTTCCTCAAGAAAATCCTATATTTTCTTATGAAAAGCGTGTTTGAAAACCCATTCCTTCCATGACTTCCAGATTCATACAAGATATGTACAATCCAAGGTGTCGTGGAATGAATATGAATATCCTTTAGTTACTTGTTAAACAATCCGTTTATGAAAAGTCGAGTTATCCCGGGAAAATCCTATATTTTCCCTAAATGTTGATGGTTGGTTATCCGTTCTAAACTGAGGTGTACAAGTATCTACCATACTTATATCGATAAACGTAGTTTTCTTTTAAAAACCCTGGTTACTCCTAGTGAGGTATATTAGCCCTATTATATAAATAAAACTAATAAAAGAAAACGTGTTGAACTAAATCCTGAAGGTACTATTAATACCCTCCAGTAATCAAATCGGTTATTACTTTGAGGTTAGTTCACTTGATTCATTATTACAAAAGTAAATCTTTGTTATCTTCATTGCGAGTTTTATAACCATAACTGACTGGATATGGCCCGCAACGGCCGGTATCCTTTATGACTTTATCACCCGTAGACCTGCCGGTCCGACTGTAGCTAGCAGCAAGGTGCGGGATTGTCAGTCCCGTATAGATCTATACACAACAGTCACGCTCTCCCTACAAGAGATTCTGGTCATAAGTGCTAGTCCTACACTCTGTTTCGGTGGTGAGTGTTACCAAGGATGTGTCTCCAACTTAGACTAACAAATTTACAAGTAATAATATAGAAAATACTTTTATGATTAACATGAATCCTTTATAAAATGGTACATTTTACTACATGATTCATAAGTTCATTGTTCTAGTTTTGAAAACTGTTTCTACGAGTTGATTTCTTAATCGTTTGGTAAAATTGTTTTCCGTGTTAAAAGCATACCAAAAATATAATTATCTTAAACAAAATAATATATTTTGAGCACAAGTTTCCTTGTACTTTTTCTTGTATTCCCCCTGAAAACATGAAAAACATCGGAAAAAGCATAGGGGTATGAGCTCACCTCGGGCGATTTGAATGAAAGATCGATACGGAATGCGGGATGTTCAAGTGAAGCCTTGAACACGATTTGATCATAATTAACATGTAATGACACATAAAGGAGTCAAATGAAGGTATTTCCCTACTAAATATGATGGAGAACCACTCTAAGAACTTGGGACTACTTATACTAAGTGCTAGGACCTTAAAGGATTGCATGAGGGAGGTGTATGGCCACCTTAACGGTGTGTGCGGCCATGGGTGTGCGACCCAAGGGGTGTGCAGCCATACACTCATGATGGAAGGTGCCTTTGAGGTGTTTTCAAGGTCCATACTTGCATCCATGAAGTGTTCTAGGTCCATACTTAGTTGTAGTACAAGTTTAGGGTCTTAGAAATGGGTTTGTGGTCCTAGGGTGAGTGTATGGTCGCACACGGGAGTGTGCTGCCGCACACAAGGAGTGTGCTACTGCACAAGGGTGTGTGCGGCCGTACACAGGTGCGTGTGGTCGTACACCCTACAATGATGATGTCCAAAAAGCCAATTCTAAGGTGTAGCAAAGCTAGGTTCATGTCCAACTCAAATATGGAAGTCCAACTCTCACTTTGGAGGGTCTTTTAGGAGTGTGAGGCCACCTTATGAGGGTGTGTGGCCGCACTCCTTCAAAGAGATGAAGAAGATGACGGGACTCAATGATTCAAGGCTTAGATTAAGTGGTTCTTCGAGCACAACAAGCTAAGGGATGGATTACTCACGTTTTTGAAGCCTTGGGAGGGTTTGTGGTTGAAGAAGCTTGAGAGAAATGGTGTTGTGTGCTGCCAAGATGTTAAAGGAATGAAAGGAAAGGGGTCTACCCTTTATATAGGGGTGGGTGTGTGGCCATGAGGGGTGTGTACGGCCGTACACCCATGTGTGCGGCCGCACACTCCTCCAAAAGGGGTGTATGGCTGGATTTCATCCCTTTACGACTTGCTAACTCATTCCTAATCTCGACCTTGGTTGTACTCAAGCTTAGAACGCGTAAATGAAGCCTTAACCAGTGCTAGGAGTTAACATAAACGAGTTTAACTTAGATTAACTGACTAGATGTACCAGGTAGAAGTTTTCGGTTGTCACAAACGGCGACAACTTTCGTCGACCTTAGCTTCTCTTCCGATCATCACGTCGACTGCTTCCAGTTCGTCGAAAACTTCCAATCTCTCCTTAAATCGACGGCGACAAATTTTGGTTCGTCGACATCTTCTGCAAAGGTTAGTCGATTCGTTCAATTATTATTTTCAATGTTTGTTATCAATCTGTTCGGTGTTCGTCGACAGCTTCCGATCTCTCCTTCAATCTATCAATTTATTCAATTATTATGTTCTGATTTTGACTTTCGACATTAGATCGCTAATGGTATTCAATTTAATAAAAAATCGAAGAACTTATATAAATCGACATTAGATTGCTGATTTTGACTTTCAATCTGCATCTTTTTTTATCAACGAGCTTATTTTGACTTTCAATCTGATTTCAATGAGCTGAGCTAATTTTGACTCACCATTATTTGGTTCTGTTCTGATATATCTTTCGAGCTAACATGTGATGTTGGTTGGAATGAAAACGAAGACTGGAACACCCTCTAAAACCGTCTGTTCTTTCTAAAATTCTTGTTCTTTCTGCAACATCAGGTAAGCAATGATTTTTTAAAATTGTTTGTTCTTTCTTCATCTTTCTAAAATCGTTTGTTGTTTCTTCATCTTTTTTAATTATTGGTTGGATTTGTGTATTGGTTGTAACAGGTAGGGCAGAAGGGTATTTGATTCGGGTAATTTCTTGACCAAAATCTTTAATTGTTTTGTGTATGAAACCATATGCCCACCAAGTGTTCGATCAATTGCCTGAGTGAAGGGTATTTGGATTCTGGTAATTTCTTGACTAAAATTTTGGTCCCTTGATCATCTGTGAAGTTATCAAGAACCATGGATTGAAGATGAAGGTGGTTTGGTTCTAGTTCTCGGTTGTTTATGGTGAGACAGTGGTGGAGTGTGATGGTACAGAACATATGCAAATAGGAAGGTGGTCAATGGACGTGTTTGGAGGTTGGAGCAAAAACGAATGGAGTAGGTGGTGGTATTTGGCTGTATGTATATATAGTAAAAACATAGATTGGTTTGCAGGTTAGTTCTTCATCCCTCAATTCTTGGTTTTATGTGTGTATGTGTATGTAGCAAGAACATATATTGGATTTGCATATGTCTGAAATTGAATATCTTTTTCCATTTTTCCAGCTCTATTGATCTCTCAAGCACCACAGCAGATGTTTTAAGCAGTGAGTTATGTAAAAGGCTTAAAGGGTTTCTTGCATCATGGTCTCCTTGAAGTCCCCAACCTCATGTCAATGAACTTCTTATAGCAAAGGGGTTTTTTTAATCATAGTTTCATGTTATAATGTTATATTTATTAAAATTTTAATATATATACTTTTATTTATAATGTTATATTTAATGTTATATTCTTATGTTTAATGTTATATTCATTTTTTTAATATTTTTATTAATAATTAATGGTTCCCGATTAATCCCCACCTAGCCGATTAATCCTTTGACCCCAGTCCACTGATTAGCCTACGTCGAGCGATTTCTACAACCTTGATATATATATATATATATATATATATATATATATATATATATATATATATATATATATATATATATATATATATATATGTGTGTGTGTGTGTGTGTGTGTGTGTGTGTTTATTTAATTTAATCAGTTCCATCAGGTTTATAAAAAAAGATTGGTTTGTTTCAGATATAAACATAAAATTGGTGCTAGTTAAACCGTTCACTCCCCAACACATGGTCCAACTGGTTCGAACCGGTTTTAAAACATTGTATAAAATGAGCTAAATCTTCAAAATAGTCTTCATTTTCGCACATTGTACATGTAAAAAGACCATGCCATTGTGGAAAACATCAAAATGACATTGTTTTATTAAGAAATGACTAAAATTTTCTCGATGGTCTCCCATTATTCAACGTAAAAAAATGTTTTCTCATTTTTATACTCTCATCTTGCACATTTAAAAAATTCATTCTAGCGATAACAGTCCACATTATAAATTAAGTTTTTCCATCTTTTATATGAAGTAGATCAACCGTTAATGGTTTGGTTAGATAACTCAATGCAAAGAATGCAATTTGGAATGTTGATTGGTTGATAAGGGAGATTTGACTCTTTTTTAGCAAAGTTATGATAACAAGTAAAAGGTATTGGATTTGAGAAATCCGTACAAAAGTTAGTAAAGATTGAATGTGACGTTATGTCACATTATGATGAATAAGGGTTGGAGCCGACATTCTCGACGAATTCAATTTTCACATTGGACCTATGATTTTGGAAGCTACCTTGAAGTTTCATTGAAATTTATGAGATAAAAGATAATAAAAACGTATGTGATTTGTTGAATGAGTCGAGAATCGGTCAAGAGACAAACATCTTATCTCTATGATATTTAATTAAATGAAAGTTCATCGATAAATGAACGGATGGAGAAAGTGTAGCTCGAAATGAATGGAATGTTGTTAAATAGTACAAACCTCCGAGATTTGTACAATGAGAATTTTGTTGTCTAATAAAAGTAGGAAATATGATGAATTAAATAAAGAATCAAAGCAAGATTTTTGATTCAGAGTGAGAGCATCACATGATGAGAGGATTGGATTAAAGAAAGGACCATGGACGCAAAAAGAAGATGAGCTTCTAATTGAGCACATCAAGAAGAATTGTAACGCCTGGTTCCAGGTATGCATTTAACTCATTAATTTATTTATTTTGAAAGGGTAACTCGACGAGTTGGTGGCCCTAACTCATCAAGTAGATGGCAGAATATACGCGGGGTTTAAGCTATCTACTCGACGAGTCAAGAGCCCTCGACCCGGAGAGTAGATCGGCCAGAGTGAAACCCTAATTTCGGGGTTTTGCACCATATTTAAACTCCTTAACCCCCACCCCTTGGCCTCATTTCCAGCCTTCATGTCCCAAACCCTAATCCACGAAACCCTAGAGCTTTATTTGAGAGTGTGAGCCATTTTGAGTGATCTTTGTGTACTTTTGAAGCTTGTGGAAGAAGAAGAAGATAAAGGGCTCAAGAGGGAAAGAGTAGATCCAGAAACTACACACCATTTGCTACATTTTATGGTAATCAAGTTTTTATCTTGGCTATTAGTTCATTAGATCTCTTTATGTCCATTTTATGAGGTTTTTTGGTCCAAGAATGATAGCTTTTGGAGAATGATCGACCCAAGTGGGTATTCTTCTAGATCTAGGACCTAGAGGGGCTGATATGACATAAAGATGCAAACTTTATGCCATTGGAGCCCCCATGCAAGCCATAGAGTGTCATATTGGCCTTTTTAGCCCCAAAAGGCCATGCATGTGGAAAAAGGTGGGAACTTTACGTGTCTAAGTAGTGTTAGGGGTTTAGATCTGAGGTTGTAAGCCTTAGTTGGGTGTATGGATGGCTTAAGGACTAAGTTCTAGGTCCCAAGGAATTAGGATTTGAGCTAAACCCTTTAAGAAGAGGTATTAATGGGTAAAGTTAGAAACTATACCCTTAAAAGGACATTTTCAAGGTTTATGTGAATTATGAAGCTTGGATCTGAAGTGTAGGGGCTTAATCCATTAAGATAGCCCAAACAGACAGGGGAACTCAGCGAGTCCAGAAAGGGACTCGACGAGTTGAGTCGGGTTGTCCCGATTCTATGCCAAGTAGAACTCGACGAGTCTGTGAAGGGACTCGACGAGTTGACTCGGTTGATCACGAGTCTGAGTAGTATAGGAACTCGTCGAGTTAGGAGGTAACTCGACGAGTTGAGTCGACTGGGAGTTGACCTTGACTTTGACTTGGACCAGGATGTTGACTTTGACCAGGGGTGAAATGGTCATTTTACCCTAAGAAGGATTATCAGATTTTGATTAAGTGTTATTGTGAAATTGATAGTCGGGGAGTCGTTGGAGCAGCCGTCAGATATTTCTCACACGTGATTTCATAGCTAGCATATGAGGTGAGTTTCCTCCAGTAGGAACGGGTCTAAGGCACCAAGGCCGGCCCGTTTAGTTAGTAGTAGTTCCGGACTACGGTCCGATTCCAGGCAGGGCTCGATGTAGGTTTATATGCTTTTTCGGATTTAATCCGATGTCGGGGCGGTACCGAGGAATGCTTGATGTCTTTGTGATTCTTGCATGTGTTTGTACTTGTATGTTTCCGGACTTCGGTCCGATGCCGGGGCGGTCCCGAGAAATGTTAGTATGTTTCCGGATTACGGTCCGATGTCGGGCGGGGCTCGAGGAATGTTTAAATGTTAATGATATATGCTTAGGTTTATGTGTATTTATTGATTATGTTCACATGTATTCCAAGATGTGCTTGATGCCGGGTGAGGCTCGATGCCCGGTGGGGCCCGATGTCGGGAAAGCAGATGCCGAGCCTGACTCGATGTAGCAGGGGCGGGGCCCAAGATATGTTTATGTGATATGTGTATGGTATGTGGTAGTTGGGGAGACTCACTAAGCTTCGTGCTTACATTTTTCAGTTTTGGTTTCAGGTACTTCTGCTAGTAAGGGGAAGAGCTCGGGATGATTGCATGGCACACACCACAGTTTTTAGCTTGGGAGGATTTACTCTGATTTTTGACATATGATTTTGATAAATTGACAGATATTATGATATTTTGGAGATACATGGTTATGACTTCTATGTGATGGATGATATTGACAGTTTTACTACTGAATTAAAACGAAAATTTTGGACTATATTTTTGGGATGTTTCAAGTTGGTATCAGAGCCTTGGTTTGAGGGATTTGGGCACACTCTCGGGTGTGTCTGAACTCAAACTAAGGACTTGGTATGAAAATTTTCAAAAGAAAATCATTTTTACAAAAAGAATTTTGAAAGGAGAAAAGAACTTTGAAAAGAGAAAAAAAGGGTGTGGTGCATGCAATCGGCCGAGCTCAAGTAAGTACTCCCAAATTACCCATACAAGTTTATGTTATCATATGTTTACGAGAACTGCATGCTAGATTAGGACTAAAGATATAGGAAGGATGCCTTATATGCCTATTATATGTGTATCAGCTTTATGAGAACTGCATGCTAGATTAGGACTAAGGATCTAGGAAGGATGCGTTATGTGTCTCAGCTTTATGAACCGCATGATAGTACAGATTAGTCAGTGATGGCCTGAATGAGATATGCTTTATTATGTTTACTCGATGCTCGAATGTTGCTTGCTTTGTGCTTTTAGGAGTTCTAGTTATCTCTTAGTAACTAGTAAATGAATATGTTTAGTTACATATTGTGAGGACTAAATAATTTCAGAAGGTTAGGTCTAGCTTTATTGCGCAACTCTTGTTTGAGTCCAACCATTGTAGGGTATCGAAGAATTATCTAGTCTTAGTGATATGTAATAGTATTCACGAGCTAGTTAGGGGGAGATAGCAGGGACTTGTTATGCAGCTGATAGCGGAGAGTGGGTTGGTGATTACCCTAGGGAAAGCCTAGGATGATATTAGCATGAGATCAGAAGTAGTAGTAGAAGGGGACTTGGTGGAGTCGAGGCAGTTCTTGAGGAAAGTACGGATAGATGTGGAAGGTAGTATGGGCCCGTACTACGGAAAGCAGAGGATCCGTACTCGAATCAAGGAAGGCTAAGATGAACCCAGGAAACTTGTAGAATGTGATATCCCTTGAGTTATGATGAGTATACTGATGTTTGTTATGGTGTATTTTCAGTATGGTGACGCTACGCACTAGGCCATTTGGCACTTCAGGCACTGGTGAGGGATCAGGCTCGGGCTCTGGAGCCGGGCAGCTGGATGAGCAGACGAGGGAGTTCATCTCGTATGAGATCACACACAACATTCTAGACCAGAATCTTGTGATATTTGGTTCGGTCAAGGAGGGTATTTTGGAGCTTTTAGATGAGAAGTTGAGTGCTTTCCGCACCGAGGTGGCGGCCATGATGGGGTCTCACACACTGACTTTCAGGGAGTTCAGGGCTTGTGGAGCTCCCGACTATCATGGGGCTCGGGACCCCATTGCTAGCAGCAGATGGTTGGCTGATGTCGCCAATGCGTTCCGTACGAGCATATGTCCTGAGGGGGCAAGGTCCAATTTGCATCCTGTCTTCTGAAGGACAGGGCACGTGATTGGTGGGAGGAGGTCGGACGATCCATTGGGGATGATACAGTTCTTGATGCTATGACCTGGAGTGATTTTTCGGCCAGGTTCAGGGCCAAGTTTGCACCCGTGATTGAGGTGCAACAACTAGCTAGGGAGTTCCAGAATCTTGAGCATACAACAGAGACTGTGGCGGAGATCACCACTAAGTTTAGGGAGAGGTCCCTTCT